CAGCAGGCCAGCCACCCCCGAACCCTGGAGGCCCCCTCAGCGCTGGCAGGCTTTCCCCTCAGACTTTGTATAGTCGGGAAGATCCGGACACACTGAATTATTTGTTGCTCCTGCTCTGCTCCCCCAGCCGTCTAAGCGCGCCCTGCCTCACTCACCCCTCACTCAGGTGACAAGAGCACACGTGATACCTTGCGCACACGAGTGTGCGCACACATTTTACCCATGATAGTCATTAGGCTTCCAGAATTCTAAAAGAATTTTCAAACTCCCTGCAAAATGGGGTTCAGTCCTGTAAGAGTTCGAGTTCATTCTAGGATAGGCTTTGGGTAGCTCTGGGAAATCCCAGAATAAAGTAAGTGCTCCTGGTCTAGCCCAGAATATGCCTAAACTTTGAAGTAGTGCTGACAGGGCCCAGCAGTCACCCCTGGTTCTAGAGAGAAACTGTGTCGACCCAAACCTTGCTCCTTAAACCTGTGATACAAGAGAACTCGTCAACGTGTCAGATACCATCAAACCCTCACTGGCCCGTGTGCCTTCCCAAGAAATGACACCTTGACACCACTCAGTCCCTGCCACTATCAAAAGATGCAGTCTTCAGGTTTGCTCCGAAAACAGACTGCCTGGTTGCTGGGTGCATTTCTTAGAAGCATCTGTGCCCCAGTGAGGGGATGGAGGCCCCAGGGGAGGCTTGGACCAAGTCACCCAGTTTATTAGACTCAGAGCTAAGGCCAAGATCACATGCCCCTCTCGGTCACTCAGCACCAAGTTATTGAGCCTGGTTGTGTCTGGAGGGAGAGCTGCAAACCAGGTGACAGGGATTTTATATCTTTTCTCCCCTAACGTTGACATCGTCCCTGTTTTTACATAGCTATTTGGCCAATCAGCCAGGAACCTCCACCTACCCAGCCCCATTTGGAAATAAATCTCCAAGCATTAATCTGTGTGGCCCCCTGGTCTCCTCACTGGCACCCCTCAGACAGAACCACGAGCCCCCACTGGCAAGCTCCGCCTGGGGAGTGTCCTTTTGGCAGTGCCGCCTCTGTCACAGGAAGGACACTGAAGAGAGCCATTTATCACGCTGGAAATCTGAGCTGTACGGGGCCCAGTTGGCAGGGCTGTTCTGTCCAACCCGCAGGACGTCTGCTCCCTGCCCTGCTCGGAGCAGGGGGCATGGAAGGGAGGAGTCAGTGTAGAACACGGGCTCGCAGCCAGTGCTCCCCCAGGGTTGAGGCAGGGTTCTGTCTGCAAAGGGAAACATCAGTGTGAATCTTCGTTTCTTTTGAATGGCATGGTCCCCCACAGCAGAAGACTTTGGGGGGATTTTTTTTGTTTTTCCTACGCAGTTCCAAACAGTTTCCCCAAACAAGTGTTCTTCCAACGTAGGGTGGGAGGGAAATTTATTTCTGCTATAAATTGAGTGACATTTAGTATTTTCTGCTTACTATTATAATACTTGGTGTAAGAAGTGTACTGAGACAATTCTTTTTTAAAAAATGGATTCAATACATTGTATTTATGGTGGGAGAGGTATATCAATGTATTCATTGGAATGAATCAGGGGAAACTTTTCTTAGAACCAGTAAGATGTTTGCTTTATATGTCTCTCTTAAAGAGCAGATTTGGTCTCCATATTTTTCCACCCATCAGCGATCCCAGCACAGGGAAATGGGGCTCAGTCAATTTGCACTCATTCTATTTAGATTATGAGATTCTTCTCATCAGTGTATTACTGGTCAGGCAGGAGTAAGGTATATACACTGATAACAGTCCCCTCACCCTCTTCCCACCCAGTCTCAGTGACTTAACAAAGCCAGAGTTAATTCTTCCCTCACGCTACACGTCTGACACAGGTCAGCAGGGGCCTCTGCTGATCCCAGGTGCTTGAGGACCCGGACAGGGGGGTTCCATCTTGGTAAAAATTTCTATGATCTCTGCAGCGTGGAAAGACAATATAGCCAGTCATTCACTGGTTCTTACATCTTTTTCTCAGAAGTCATCATGTCATTTCCACTCACATTCTGCTGGCTATACTGTGTGACGTGGTCACACGTGATCTCAGAGAGGAGCGTTCAGAAGTGGAGAGCTGGCCAGAGCAGGGGAGCAGCGTCACACACTTCGGTGGGAGCGCTGGGGCAGAGCGGGCCACGCCTCCCTCTCAGTTACACTGTTGGAGCAGCATTGTGTCAGGGCCACAATAACTATGTGGCCATGGGTTATGTGGTGATCTTCTGGGACAGTTCCTGTTTCACAACTGCTGTTTCATTGTCAGCCATAATCATTGCCATTAACTGGCTGGGGAAGTATGGTCACCACATAATAGCTAAGCAGGTGTCATGTACTCCACTCACTTGGCTTCTGCTCAGAAATTGGTGAGCAGAAGGAAATCTAAATAGCCTTGTTTCAGCATGAGATTAATAATTATCGTGTTAGCACCAAGTCACACTCACGTAGCACTTTGAAAACTTAAGGTGCCTTTACGGGCTATCGTGTCTGTTCTTATTAACAATTCCATGTCCCAAACAGGGCAGATGTTATCCTGCCATTTTTAAGTTAAGAAAACAGGAGGGAGAGAGAGAAGTGAGATTGTCTCTTTTCCCTTAACTTCAGCAGAGCTGGAACTTGTCCTGAGAGTTTTCTTGAATACTACTCTTTGGAATTTAAAAGGGACACTATGGGTATCTACTCGAATACAGTACTGAATTAACTAGTATGTGTAACATCTGTTTATGCTGATGACTTCTGATGGAGAGACCATGCTGTGGGTAGAGGAAGAAAGATGCCCTCACTCCCCTTCTTGTCAGCCAGGTGGAGGACACGCGGGAGCAGAGGGCCAAGAGCGCCTCTGTCCCATCACAGAGTCTAGCCATCCGCTGAGCAGAGGTGATCTGCCCCTCGGACCTCCCAGAACACCGGAGCAGCAGTCCTGATGAGTTTCTTTTTCCCCAGTTCTCCGATTATCAGAACTACCTTGTGAATAGCTGCGTGAAGGAGAACCCCACCATGGAGCGGTCCATCGCCCTGTGTAACGGCGTCTCCCAGTGGGTGCAGCTGATGGTTCTCAGCCGCCCCACCCCGCAGCTCCGGGCTCAGGTCTTCATCAAGTTCATCCAGGTGGCACAGGTGAGTGACTGGATTAAGACTTCTGGCCTGGCCTAGGAGGGAAATTATCCCCTCCCGGCCTCGTCTACCCATTAGAGCTTCTTTTCCTTCATGAACCTCGGGGTGGAGTTTGTGCACCGTCAGCTGTCCCCAGATCTAGGCACGGTGATTTTCCTAGTTCCCACGCAGGGCGATGTGGAGAGGGTCATAAAGGCCATCTTCGAGGTCAGGGTACAGGTTTGGATCTGTTCAGACCTTTAACGGGTTTCAGAAGATGCTTACCAGCCTACACTGCTCTCCCAAATGTGGCCCACGTGGCAAAGGGAAGCGCATTCCCGGGTTTTTGTGGAGCTGGACCAACGAGAGTTAGGTCTTTGAGCCCATGTTGTGTCAAATGCCTGGGGTTTAATGTTTGAGGGGCAGAGTTCAAGCATTTGGTGAGAACACAAACACATTTGAAGTTCCACAGAGATTCTAGCGTGTCTTCCCAGTTACTGTGCTATATAGCACTGGCATTGCCCTCAGAAATAAAACATTCTGGTTACTTTGGGGTGAATGTTATAAAAGATTACACTTAATGATGTATTTTTCCAGCTCTAGACGTTCCACGCCAGTGTTTCTTAAAATGTGGGACATCGGCCACCTGCTCTAATATTAACTAAAGGTGTGTTAAAAGCACGGATCCCTACGCTCAGCCCCAGATCCAGGGAATGAGAGCATCTGGACTTGGGTCCAGAAATCTGTGTTAAATAAGAACTTTGGGTGATTCTTAGAAACCACTGACACGGAGGGTGGTCCAGCTGCAACAAAAGGAGGAAGATGTGATGCTTTACTAGGTTTGGGACCTAATGGTCTGGAATTAAGCGTAAGGGAAGAAATGGATAGAAAATTCCAATACCTGATCGCTGGCCTTTGGCCAGTATCAGGAAGACTCGTAGCACAGACAAGCAGCAGTCTCTAAGCTCCCATGTAACTGACATGTACAGTGACTCTGCTCCCTGCTGTTTTCTGTGTCACAGAAGCTCCACCAACTGCAGAACTTCAATACGCTGATGGCTGTGATAGGAGGGCTGTGTCACAGCTCCATCTCCAGGCTCAAGGAGACAAGTTCACATGTCCCGCATGAAATCAATAAGGTCAGTGCTCCTGTCTCCTCTGGGGCCCTTTAGCAGCATTCCTAGGACCAGTGTCAGTGTATCCTCCTTGAGGGGCAACCCAGAGAGCACTTCCAAACCACGCCATCCCTTGTCAACCAGGCACGATACCAAGGAGGCAACCCCCAGGAAAACCCCCAGGACAGGGACGCCGCAGATCTGAGAGTGACTGTGATTCGGTCTGGCCTCAGTGTTACTCTACCTATTCCCGCTGGCGATTTGAAACTGTGTGTCTCTTTCCTCTGTTCATATGCCACTGAGTGTTCAGAGCCACCATCTTTAGTATCCACTCCCTTGCTGTAGCAAGGGACCATAGTTCAGTGACTATAGTTCAGTGTGCATGTCAAGTGAGATTATGAAGTGACACGTTAGAAACTGAGCTAAGCAGAACTCTTAGTGACATTCTGGACAGTTGGATTTTCCCAGAAAGTTGGAAATGAGCTTTTCAGTTTGCAGCAGTTTTTATTGGGAAGTATTTTTCTTAAATGTCCTATGTACTTTCCTACATTAATAGTTAGATTTTGCAGAAAGGACTTTAATCTTTTATGCTGTAGGGCTGTTCTTAACTCATATAAGCCACAATACAGTATAGACAGACATGCAGCTATGGATGCTGTGGGTTCCATAATGGCTGCTCTTTGAGCATTTCATCTCACACAAGAGGACCAAGCAGGCCTCCCGAGCTGGCACACTGGGAGACTCTTCAGGAGAAATGTCTAAGCCTCATTGTCCTATCCGTTTCCCAGGTGTCAGCCTCCGTTCAGGAAGTCCCTTACTAACCACCCCTGCCCCCACAAAGCTGGGGTCTGGGGATGCCTCCCCATCCTGCCCTCCCAGTGGTCTGGTCACCTTATCATCCCCTCATGGTTCTGCTGAGACCAGGCGGAACAACAGAGAAGACTGCCCATGTCTCAGAGGTGACAGAGGCGCTTAGCTTGCTCCTCTAAAGCTTGGGGTCCCCCACAGCAACGCTCCCTTGTCTGTAGCTGCTTCACCTTCAGGGTGGTCTGCAGAGCGAATTAAGTCCAAGGTTAAAGCAAGTGTCACCCCAGGGTTTATTGCATCATCTAAGTGGAACAAAAATCTCACTTTTGTGGTTGGTCCCCCGTCTCGTGAGCATCTCCATACTTCACACTCACCCGCACTGCTGCTAGTGGTGTGTGATGAGGCTCTCTTGCCAGCTCCGAGCGAGTGCGGGAGGCTCACTCTGAGACCTTGAGTTCTTCATCAGTGAGAAATGGTACTTCTCAGGCCACAAGTTTATGACAAAGAATTTCTGGCACAGTGTTTCAAATGTAATTTTGTGTTGTGACATGATTAGCAGGCAGTCTCCCCTTCCTGTCTTTGCTTCTGAGAAAGCTGGTCACCACACACGGGGAATGGGGTTCTGTGAACCATGTGCTGACTTGACCCAGGTGTGTTTGAAAAGAAGAGCAGACCCGGCTGCTCCCTTGCTGTGCTGGTGAGCAGCGCGCCCCCTCCCGTCCAGGCAGGGTGCTGGCTCCCACACACAGCAACCCGAGGCCTCTGCCCCATCCCCTCTCGGGTCCTTTGCTGGGAATTGGTCTAGTCTGTTCAGTCTCCCTGTTTAGGGGTTCGGTGTGTGAGTGGAATGTCGCCTGCTTCATAGACAGAGGCCCATCTTGAGACTCATCGAGCTAAGGCCCAGCATAAGGAGTAGGAACAGGCGATGGACGACGGAAGGCCGTCCTGGAAACACACACTTCCTCAGGCAGCCGGGCAGGCGTCACCCTTCGAGTGTGATGCAATGTGGTATCTCTGGAAGCGTTTGGAAGACACTAGGGAAGGGGACTGCATGGCTTGGGGACAGAGGTCAGAGGGACACTGTATACTCTTGTACCTTAAAAGTTTTATCAGATGCTTATTTGTTTTTAAAAAGAACAATTTTAGTATAAAAACAGTAGATGAAACCTCATGTAAAATTTTCTGCTTATGTAGTAGAAGCAAGTAAAGCGTAACTTGCATTTTGTAAATGTGCTCAGTGACGTTTGACATAAGCTGGAGTTTTAATCTGGGAGTCATACTCTGCACCTTTAGTCGCGTCGCTCCTCCCCTGACATATGAGGTGTTGGGTGAGATCATGGTAGGAACCGTGAGTAAACAGGTGGCTGCTGCAGACAGCACAGCCTGCCTGGGGGATTCCCTGTGATTGGGTCTCTTCTGCTTTGTAGGTTCTGGGTGAGATGACCGAGCTGCTGTCCTCCTGCAGAAACTACGACAACTACCGGCGCGCCTACGGGGAGTGCACCCACTTCAAGATCCCCATCCTGGGGGTGCACCTCAAGGACCTCATCTCCCTGTACGAAGCCATGCCTGACTATCTGGAGGAGGGGAAGGTCAATGTCCACAAGCTGCTGGCCCTTTACAATCATATCAATGAACTGGTCCAGCTGCAAGAGGTGGCCCCACCCTTGGAGGCCAACAAGGACTTGGTGCACCTGCTGACGGTAAGGCTTGTGTGCGGGCAAATCACTAAGCACTTTCTGTGTGCCAGGCATCCATCCCTGCACCTTATCAAGTATCAGCTCAGTTAATGCTCATAAAAACTCCATGCCGTGGACGCTGGTATCACCTCCATTTTATGGATGGGGAAACTGAGGCACAAAGACATACCTTGCCAGAGGCCCACAAGTTATTCAGCTCAGAACCAGGTGGTGGGACACCGGGGCTGTGCTCTTAAGCAGTATGCCCTTTGGCACTTCCAGGAGTGTTTCCCCACCCTGCAAAAGCCAGGCCTAAGCTCTGTGGGAGGAGCTGACAGCAAATGAGAATACAAGACTTGGTAAGAGATGGAGACAGTGGGTTCTCATAAAAAGGACGAGGCAGTGAGTGAGTAAGTAGATAAGTAAATCATTATTTGGATCCTGCCACCACTGGCTTTGATCCGTGTTCCCAGAGCCAGGCAGACGAACACTTGTGGTGCAGGGTGAGATCAGCTGAACTCCCTTCCAGACCTGTGACTCTGTAGTTCACCAGCTGTGTGCCTGTGAGGACTTAGCTGTTTCCTCCTCTGTAAAATCATGGGGATTAATCTCCGTGATGATTTCTCACTTCTTTCAGTTCTAAAATTACACAATTTTTAACCCACCTTTTTTGGCAGAATGGAATGATCACTATTGCCTCTTCCTACTTCACAGGATTATTCTCATCCAGCCCTGTTTTGGTATCAGCTGGTGTCTAATCTGAGCCCTCTCGCTAATTGGCCAGGCAACCTTGTCAGGTCTCGGCCTTAGATGTCATCATCTGGGGAGAGAGGCACTGAATCTGACCTTTTTTAAATCACAAATTCTGTGATGAAAGCTGTGAACATTCTTCCCCACAAAATATACATAAGCCATATATTCTCAATAGTATATGTTTTTGAGTTCTGAGCGTCCTGAAGCCCATCCATAGAATCTAGGTTAAGAACAAGATTATTTCTAAGACCTCTTTCCTCTAAAATTTTATAGTTCTAAGATATATGAAACTCATTAACTCTTAATATTGTTTAATAATACCTGTTACTTAAACTGGGTTCCGCTGCTGGAATCAAATTTGAATAGTATCAGGCCACGCAGACTGTCCTTTCAGATCATCCATCTGCTTGGGGGAGAACACATGAGGTGTGGAGCATGTAACCAGGCAGGGCCTTTGGCCTAAGCTCTACATAGGACCTTAGACATTAAACTGTAGTTTAAAAGAGAGCATCTTGAGACTTTGCCAGAATTTAAAAACACTCTAATAAGAACTAATGCTTGCCCATACTGCAGCAGTAGGTGTCACACCCTCCAAACTCTGTGAATTTTTAAAAACAAATGACTTAGAGCCTAGAAGTGTAAACCACTGGAGGGGAAGAACAGGAAAGAAACACATCAGCCCTGGGAAAGGCAAACAGCATCCCAGCGATTAACTCTGCTCTGCTTTGATCTGCAGTTATCCCTAGATCTCTACTACACTGAGGATGAGATCTACGAGCTTTCCTATGCCCGGGAGCCCAGGAACCACAAAGCCCCCGTGAGTTTTTCATACTAGGACTCCCACGTGTAACATGTGCTTTTTTTACAAGCTGCTCATCAAGGTCATTCATCTTAAGGAGTGGGCTTTCGTTCAGTTTCTACTGTGTGCTCAAACGTGTGCTAGGAATGGGGAAAGGTTCAGCATGTCCAAGGAATAGTTCCTGATCATAAAGAGTCTGCACACTACTTGAGGGGATAGACTAAGATGTGGACAGTGAAGAACTGCCTGCCGTGAGTGTCGGGAGGAGCGGTGGGATCAGCCGGTGGCTTACTAACGTGAGCAGGGGTACGGCGTCGCAGGCTGGAGTGAGCGCTCCCTCCTGCTGAGTGTGAAGTGTCCTTACATCAGTTGTTTCTCGTCCTTGACTTGTTGATAATACTGATGTGTGTATTAATCAGATGCTTAACTTCAGAGGATTTCCAGCTTGGTAGATAGAAAAGCTGTATCAGCCTGTATTCATCTGGTTCAGAAACAGCAGTTTGCTGGGTCTTTTGACCTCTTGTGCTGAGAAGCCCTCAAAACAGTGCAGCCCTGGTGCTGCTCAGCAGGGACTCACAGCTGACCTTGGCCCTGCCCCCCTGGCAGCTGGTGAAGTAGTTCATCTTCCTTCTGAAGGACCAATAATCCACAGTCTCCTGGGAGGCTTCCCAGCCCCAAAACAAGTGGCACTCAAAGGTAGAGTTCCTCTACGTAAGAAACTCAGCTTTTCTGTTCAGATGGCTAAATTTCATTGTCTCTATTGTAATCAAAGATGGTCACTGAAAAGATTTGGTAGGTTCCATTTTCAGGGTATTAGAGGGCATCAGACCTTCTTTTGTTTTTGAAAGAGATTTTAATTTACACCAAGTCTCAAATACTTAGGAATCGATTCCACCTCAGCTTGTCTAGGCCTCAGGGTTTTTTTGTGTGTGTCTTTCTGCCTTTGAGCTACTTTTCTCTTCATCCACATCTCTACTAAATAGTAAGTAGAGAACAGAGAGGAAATTTAAATGATCTACTTTTACTCTCTGTCAGTAGCTTCAACAGAAGCTGTAATGGTGAGGGAACTGAAACCCAGGCGTACGGAGGACTGTAAATTACCTTAGATGGAGGTAAATGCGTGAGGAGCTCTTGGCACACTGTCAGGCACACTACTTGTTAGCCAGGGCTGCTGCACTGGAGTTCAGCTACGTGCGGGCGCTCCGCTCCCTGCTGCCACACGTCCTGAGGGCTGTCCCCATTGCAGCTATCAGGCAATGGGGAGGGAAGAGCTGTAGGTTGTAAGACTGCATTATGGTCACGGGGATTTCTCTGAATATTTCATTTTAGCCACTAACACCTTCAAAGCCACCAGTACTAGTGGACTGGGCCTCTGGAGTATCTCCCAAACCTGACCCAAAGACCATAAGCAAACACGTCCAGAGGATGGTGGACGTAAGTACACCTGTGTTTCCGCAAACACAAGGCACTGCCTGGCTTAGTTCTGTTTGTGCGCGGAGGGGCGCACAGTGGTAGAAATACAAAGGGAAGAGACATGAAACCACTTCTCCTATTGTGGCGGCAGAACAGTTCAGAAGTTACATTTCTGCCAGCACACTTCGGCCTTATACGGGGGGGAGGCGTACCTCTTAAAGGCCTAGCGAGAGAGCATGTATTTAAAGGTTGCCGGTTGATTTGGGGGCAGAGAGGCGTTAGAAAAGCTTTGGGGATCCAGTAAGGGTGATGAGGAGAATCTAAAACTGAAAAGTTTGGCACTGTTTGATTCAGTTCACTGTGCTGAATGTTGAGGGTATATGCTTTCATATTTCCACATCTCTCCTGTGGACCATTCAGTGTAACAGTAGGAGAGTACGAGCCAGCAAATGACAGAACAACTCGTAGAGGATAAGAGCCGGGTAGGGAGCACTTCCCACTGGGCCATGAGCTGAAGCTGCAATCTGAGCTGTGCGCTGAAGGAAGGGCGGGGGGGGGGCATCCCTCAGCACAGTGAGCTCAGGGCTCAGAGCAGCCAGGCTGAGGGCAGTGACCTGCAGACGGAAATGAAAGGGCCTAGCCGCCCCCAGAGGCTGTGGGATGTGACCCGCTGCGTCTCTGCAGCAGTTCAAGGAGCATGTTCCCTCGTTCCCCTCACTCAGACTGAGAAGAGGCCTTTTTCCAGCTGTTCCATTGGCTAAAGGGAGAAATGATTGGTTTCTCTTTGATAATCACCAAAACAACTCCTTTTTTCAGTCTGTCTTCAAGAACTATGATCATGACCAGGATGGATACATTTCTCAGGAAGAGTTTGAGAAGATTGCTGCGAGTTTTCCATTTTCCTTCTGTGTGATGGACAAGGACAGGTGAGGGTTTGTGTATAGGAAATGTGGTTATGAGCCTGCTGGTGAGAATGCTTTATGAATGTGTTACTAGAAGACTGCAAACTCGGATGTGTTGCTGCTGTGGTCACTTAATGAGCACTGGCGCTGAGAGAGTGGTCATCAAAGTAATGCCTGTCCGGCTTTTGTTTGGACTGTTAAAGGCCATGAAAAATGCATACTTTAAAAAAAATACCTTAGAATTGAAGATCCTATAATTCTGCCAGTTTAGGCATAGTTATAAGCTTGGTCTTCCTTCTTGCTTTGCCCTTACCGATTATGAGAAACAACTAATATTTATGAATACTTTGCATGTTACTTTTCTCAGGGATAGCTAAGTTCTATGTTGGTTCTCTGTGTGAAACCAAATGTCTGGCTGGTGGGTTCCAGTTATATAGTATGTACCATCTGAAGTCAGAAACCACAGCATAAGGTTATTTCTCTCCCTAAACACACATTTCCATCAGTTCTTTTTAAATCTTGTGGATAGTGGTTAAATTAGATAGGAAAACCCAGTTTAGCCAAATACTACTCGTGGGTATGAGTAACCCACCTCACCTGCTCATTACATGCTATCCCTGTGTCCTTATTAAGAGGAGGGCTCATGGAAGTCACTGTCAGGTAGTATGTACTGTACTGCCACTCAAGGGTAAAAAGGAGGTGAGTTTCTAAGCCGAGAAGCCATCCTTGCTCTCTCCGCTCACTTCCTTGTCTCTGTCACGTGCTGGCAGGGAAGGCCTCATCAGCAGAGACGAGATCACGGCCTACTTCATGAGGGCCAGCTCAATCTGCTCCAAGCTGGGCCTGGGCTTTTCTCACAATTTCCAAGAGACCACCTACCTGAAGCCCACTTTCTGTGACAACTGCGCTGGATTTGTAAGTTGTTGTTAGAGTGCCTTGGGGTGAAACTTGGGGAGGGTATGAGACAGTGTCACTGGCTGGGCCAGACACAGATCTCCACACCTTTATCAACTCATCGCAGCCACGGTGACCTAGTCCTCAAATCCGAGGGTTTTACTTGGACTCATCTTTTCCCATTTCTTCCTGATGTATTTTTCCTTCTGGTGCATAGGGCTTGGGATAAATGGTAAGGAAATATTAAATTTGGGATATACTTTTTAAATATTATATCCATACGCTGTTCCAAGTGTTAGAAAAAAGAACTATGAGACATCCTTACCCCTCTCCCCTTCAAAAGGAACAGCCTTTAAGAAGTCACCTGGGCTCTGCCCCTCCTCTGTCCCACCCATATCAACAGTTTCCTCCTAAACCCAGTGTCTGACCCCACAGTTCTATATACCTGCCCTTTAGTTTGGAGTCTCAAGAAGCCTGTTTGTCCTGTGATCCATCCACTTCAGGCATGGGTCATAAATCCACTGTAGTAATCTTGGTAACATTTGATTCTGATCAGCACACACTTGTCCTGCTTTCAGTTTAAGGAGAGATAAATAGGTTTTCCCTCCCGCTGGAGGTAGAGAGTAGAATGAGGGCAAAGAAAGAATGGATGTCAACGTCGAGCCTCACACCAGGTAGATGAAGGCTGTGGGGTGCATTCTAACTGTCTCCTGTTTGTCTCACAGCTCTGGGGAGTGATCAAACAAGGATATCGGTGTAAAGGTAAGGCTCTGCCTCGTCCAGTGTGTGGTCTTAGGGGCTCTCCTGTAAGATGTAATGTTTTACCCAGAGCAGGTGTCCATGAAGTCCAATGCCTCGCCCCTTAGAGCAGCCCCCGAGAGGGACTGCCACCACAAGGAAGACGGGAATCTCTGGGTGACTAGTTATGCTGCTTCCTGTTACAAGAGCCTCTCTTTGCCTTGGCTGCCCTAGAAATAGGGATGGCTGGTAGATTAATGGGTCCCCAAAGAAAGGTACAGAATCACTTTTGGAACAGAAGGTAAGTGATAATCAGAGGCCCTTGTCAGCTTTCCTTTTATCAGTAGAGGCCCTAGGACATAATTGTCCTTCCTTTGTGACTAGAAAAATTGAGGAATAAAGTAGAAAAGACCTTTTCCTGCAAGAAAGAAAGAATAGGACCTGACAGCTAGGCGCCTTCAGAGGCTCTCCTGAGAGCAGGGACTATGTGCAGGATGACAGAAGACACCACCTCTTCCCTCCAAGATAACAGGATGCCACTTGCGATTCTGAGACTCACAATAAGGGCTGGGACAAGGCTGTAAGATCCAGGGTTGACTCAGTGAGAAGAATGCTCAGTTCACTGGAAATGTTAGGTGTCCTGGCTCCAGAAGAGAGGACCGGCATGTTTGACTAGAGAGCACTGCATGAATGTGGTTTTGAGTCCCTGGATAAGAGAAAGACTTTCTGACAAAAGTATCTTGTCCACAGACTGCGGGATGAACTGCCACAAACAATGCAAAGATCTGGTTGTGTTCGAGTGCAAGAAGCGAGCCAAGAACTCAGCAGCTCCCACAGAGAACAGCACGTCTGTGGGGCCAACGTCCAGCCTTTGCTCATTGGGAGTCAAAGATCTGCTCCATGGTAAGAAGGCACTAGGAACATTCATCTTGGAAAGTGAGGTGGGAAGAATACAGTTTTCACAGGGGAAGATCACCTTCTTCCCACTCGTAATAGAAACCACCACAAACACCCTTGTGGAAGACACACCTGTGTGTGATGCACCCTCTATTTTAAGAGTTACACGTCACCCTCAGATGCCACAAAATTCTGTCACACACAATGCAGACTTCTTGGGAGAAAGGTGGCTGAGAACAGCATGAAGCCCAGAAAGGGGCTGCACCTAGAGACTTCCTTCTCCAGGCCACTTCTCCCCAGTCCTCGAGCTTGGAAGTAGACTGACGGGCAGGTTAATGTGGGCGTAGCATGGGCACCAAGGGAAAACCGTTCCAGAAGTGCTGTAAGCCCAGGTCTGCCTGCAAGGGCATCACTGTCATCCAGAGTGCGTCCACCTCTTTGTTAATAACTCTTCTCTGGGATGGCACCTGTTCATCAAATCAGAACTTCTAAGGATTCTTTTTAGCCCATTATCATTTTTCTCAATCTTACTGTAACTATATTCATCTACTTTTCCCTTCTTGAAAATTACACCTCTTCCGACACAATGCTGTGGTCTCCTGGAACTTTTCCTGCCACTTCCTGTATGTCTAGAGCCAGACTACTAACATGTCACATGTCTTCTACAGCACCCGAGGAAGGCGCGTTCACATTCCCTAACGGGGAGGCAGTAGAACACAGTGAGGAGAGTAAGGATCGGACCATCATGCTCATGGGAGTGTCCTCACAGAAGATTTCTGTGCGGCTGAGGAGGACTGTCGCACATAAGGCCACCCAGACCGAATCACCGTCTTGGCTTGGCGGCGAGGGTCCTTCTGGTCACTTCGTGCTGTCTTCCCCAAGGAAGACAGCCCAGGACACACTGTATGTGCTGCCCAGCCCTACATCTCCATGTCCCAGCCCAGTCCTGGTCAGAAAGCGGGCTTTCGTCAAGTGGGAGAATAAAGAATCCCTCATAAAATCAAAGGAGGAGCTCCATCACCTCAGACTCCCGACCTACCAAGAGCTGGAACAGGTACCTTCCTTTTCCTTTTTTTCAGACTCTGAAAACAGCGAGGCTGAACCTGGGAAAAACTGAAGATTCAGACCACGTTGATTACTAGCAGGGTAAAGGTGGAGGGGAGAGCAAAAGGAAAAGAAAGGATTCTGCTTTGTCTCAAAGAAACCAGTGGAGGCCCTGACTGAAATTACATAAGTAGAACAGGATACACAGGGCTCCCTACTGCCATAAAGCTAGTCTCTAAATGTTGGCACCAGGGCCCAGTGCCTATTGATCAGCTTTAC